CAGTTTTTTGACTTAAAGAACATAGTAAAGAAGAGTTCAACTTTGAATCAAGATCTTCTTAAAGTTATATTTTTAATTCCCTGTAAAAATTTATAAAAAAGAAGCATTAAATGCTCAAAAATATAAATCTCACTTTAAAAAAAAAACTTTCTTCTTATTTTTTTAAATAAATCAAGATTAAATGAATTTTTTTCATAAATTTACATATGAAATTGAGGTATATCAAGTCATTTGACCTATAATTACAACAATTAAAGTTATATGTCCTATGCCTGCTATATATCGGATAATTTGGGGATCGCTAAAGCGGGGTAAATGCATTGATTTATTTAAAATTAGGGTTAGGGTTAGGGTTAGGTAAGGGTAAGAGTGGTATTATATGTAAAATTTCCTTCCCGACATTTTTTACTAGTACTCGAAAGTAGGTTTAAACATCGTATTTGTACTTGTTTTACCCTTTTTTCCGTTAGAAATTCGCAATCTGATTGGCTAATGCATGTCGATCACTATATGAAATTACCCCGCTTTACCTAATTATAACTAAGGAGGTACATTCACTACGTACAGGTTTAACGAATACTAAAAATAGAAATATAAAATAGAAGAAAAATATATACATTATAGGTTGGAAGGTCTGGTGGCCCTCTACAATGTATGTACCTAATTGTAACCTGATATACCTTGTTATCACTTATCACTGTGTTTCAACTGGATATTTTCGCCCGTATGTAGTGACTAGCTCTAATCCTGAAAATCGGTTAATTTATTTATGAAAATTTTCTTTTATGAATAGTGTTTTTTTCAAAATTCATGCATTGCCCAATAATGCAAAAATCAATCAAATTCAATCAGTGGTTCGCGAGATATCCTAAATTGTAACTCAACTCGTACAATTTTCTTATAAAATTTATATCGATATTTAGTTTTATGTAAGTAATAGTTATATCCAACAACTTAGGATATAACTGATTTATCTCCTGCCATCTACATGACTGTCTAAAACCTTCTTTCTTTAATAACGAACAAAATGAGTAGAAATTTTTTTTAATATTTACCTACTAGTTTTTTTTAATTGCAATAAGTTTTACTATCGCTATTATTGTCATATTCAATTTTTAATGAATCTAGATTAAACCTGCTTCAGTACTAATTACAAACATCGATCCAATAACTTGAGTTAACGCAAAGGAATTAAGTTTAAATTTAGAAACAACTTCATCGCTCAATAGCTGGACTTGATCGTTATAGAAAACAAAATGAAAAATAAAGTATTAAAGTAGCGAATATTGCTCTTCCTGCGGTTAATAATGTAATTATAATTCTTTTAATAATTTATTTTTTATTTTTAATTAAAGCTGAATTGGTATTAAATTATACCAAAACAATTATTACCAGTAAATGGAGGTTCTCCAATGAAACAACATCAAGCTTTGACGAATCTAACGTAACAATTACAAGATTCTATTACCGATGTAATTTAATTTGTATTATTAACTTATTAATTTTACATTGCATAAACTAACTACTTTTTTCTAGACTGAGGATAATACCGATCAAAATATAACTTCTACTGAAGCTTCTAAAATACCATTTATAGTAATGAAACAACTAATATTATTAGTTCGGATAATAAATCGATTAGAAACGGACTAGTGAATATCAACTTGGCGAAAAAGGGCGAAATTTATAATATTACTATTAATTTTAATAAATTAATGTACAGTATCATTTTAAATTCGTATAATATGTAATTCTTAAAACAAATAATATTTGGTGTTAGTTAATAAATTTCCGAGTTCCTCTTATGCCCATCTATCTGAGATATAACCATTACATATGTAGAAATTATTTTACTATTACTTTGAATATTTTTATGCTTTTATTAATTTATCATTTAATAACATTTTACTGTTGATTATACGGTTAATAATAATTTATAGTAATTGACGTGTCTTTGCTAGAATTTATTTATAACTTTGAGAATTTTGCGATATTCACCATCACAATTATCATGAACTTTGATCAATAAGGCGTGTAGTACACAAGAACTTTCATCGAAGCAAATATACTGCATTTCATCCGGCGAAATCTTCCCCTTGTATAACTTATGAATGTCTGTGCTTCCAAGCAAGCTATTCGTATATGTGCCTTCGCCCTCTTGAGTATCAATGGAATTTGGCTTTTGTCGCACCATTAAAATCGTTTGATAATATTTATCTCCCCATTTGGTCATCGGCGCGTACAACTGAGAATACAATGGAATCTTTGACGTGTAAATTCCAGCCCCATACATTGCCCCGTGCACTGACTCAACTTTTTTATTGCCTGCAAAGGATCCGGGTTTCTTTAAACCATATTGAAGAATACTTTTGATGCTATTTGGGTTAGTTCCATGATAACTGTATGTCCATTCATAATTGTAAAATAAATGTTGTCCTTGCTTCAACACGAATTTTGAGGATTTGGATGGTCTCAAGTATCGATGTCCACCGCGATTTTCAATATGACAATAATTGGAAAGATAATAGCAATTATCTTGATAACTAAATAGTGATTCATCAAGCTGTAAATATTCTTTAATAAATTTACTAGACATAGTGTATTCGGAATTTTGTCCGAGAGAACTTGCTCCATATAAATATCCTTCGTTATATTTCATTTTTAGTTGAATAGATTTTGGAGTTTTTAGAAGCAAAGGTCAAAAAGAAAAATTGCAGCAGTTTTATAAAGGATTTCTCATATGAACATTTTAATTGAGGATGTCGATATATGGTTTCACAATTTAATTTGACTTGATTAATTTGATTAAATATTTGACATCAAACTCAAAATTAATATATAATTAAATTTCCAACTCAAATCAAGATTTTTTTTATTTGGATTTGATGAACCTCTATATAAATCATTGCTACACTTGAAGACCAACTAATTGTAACACTTGTTTGTGATATTTTGATAAACTTTAGCGCTGATACACCTAGACTAAAAGTGAAAAGGATCTTATATGTAAACTCATTGTCCGGAGCTTTAATGGAAGACTCCACACTATAATACAATCGATGCAAATGTTACACTTTGACACAAGATTCTGATAATCATGTCAGAAACGTAATTTAGAGTGTTATCTGCCTGTATGCGTGTAATCTGCACCTCACGAAATTATCCAGTACTTTCATACAATTAAATTGTGAACTTTGATTAATCTGAAAAACACGAGCGAAAACTATAAAGAAAAAGTCTAAATAATCT